TTTATGTTTAACAGGGCTCGAAAAATATTTGAATTCCAGTTTTCCCTCCTTCGGAGTAGTAGCTCTCAGATTTTGCTTGCCCAGCGCAATGGAATGCTTGTTTGTGCTTTCCTTTTTATGACTTAACTGGCAAACAACTTTCTGTAAGCCCTTGACCGTCGGACAAGTGACAAGGAAAAGTTACTTGCCCCGAAGAAAAATCTACTTGTCCCGGGGGTCTTGATGGTGCTTTTTGTGAGCCCTGTTTTATGTACAGGTGTTCTTGGTTTCCACGGGACATCATCGCCGCCGTAGTGGATGACATTAACGAAAGATTTCTGACTAACTTCTTTTGTTTGTGTCATCTACGAAGGCCGCCCGGCCTTTGTCATTTGAAACTCTCGGTATTGGTTGCAAACCACCAATACAGCAGAACCTTGTCTTACGACCACCTTGTTATTTCGGCAACTTTCCAGTGGTCTGAAGGAAGGCGACTTTAAAGTCAGTCAGTTTCTGTTATATTTACATGTATAAAGTAACCATTGATTGTAGCCTCTCCGTTAATAAGACCCGAGAACAAGACCTGCGTTCGGTGGACTGTTGGTGGTCGAAATATCATTATTCCACTGTAACATGATTGTACATAATTATTTTCGTTTGTAATTGCTTTAATTCTTGTCACAATTAGTTTTGACACTTTGCAACAGGTTGATAAATCTCTCTCCAGCTTTAATTTCCCTCTCCTCCCCGCGTCAATGTTCAATATTGATTAAGAAACAGAACACATGTTCCGTGTTCCTATCGAGTTATAGAAACACGAGTAAAAGTTTGGGAGAATGAGAAATGCTGTGCGAACACAAGCCAACAGGCGATTGTTTCCGCAGCTTTTTCGAGTTTTCCAAAACTTTCACGAGTGTTTCTTGGGTATACTCCTCTTATTCTCATTTTTTTTCTGTATTAACCTGTTGTCAGGTCGATTTAAGTCACGTTTTCACGTTCTATTTCTTTGCGCGGTGCTGAAAAATTTGCCTGTAAACCTGCTGATCGCATTACCGTGATGAATTTTCTTGTTTTACAGTTTCAAGTCCTACATCTGAGGAGTCGTTTCAGTTTGGAGGCTACATGCCTTCTGCAGCCTCCAGCAGCCAGTCACGCAGCCGAGGGGGTCTGGCCAGACCAGACACAGCTCCCGGCTCCACCAAGCGCTCCGTGAGGTTTTCAGATGATCTGGGACTTGGTGACGAATTGTTTGGAAGTGAGCGGCCCTCTACAGCTCCGGGTGAAAGATCAGGCAGAAGGCTGGCAAAGAGAGGTGAAAAAGATGAGAACATCAATGGATCGTATTTGGATGATAAAAAGAAACCACCAGAAGGTAACAAGCCAACTAGAAGAGAAACAACTAGTAATGGTGGGGACTTAAAATTTTGAACAGTTTCAGAATTAGGATTGAATTCTCCCTGCAACTAAAACACGCGTTTTATGCCTTCAGCTTAAAGGAATTTACTTAGAATTTGTTTGTAAAGGTGAGGTCTGAAGTTTGCATAAGTGTTGATATTTTCCTTGGATAAAATACTCAGTGTACATGTAGTCCATCACAAATTACGCATTCCATTCATCAGGTTTCCTCGACAATTCACCAGCCTGAGAGAAACGGTTCTTTCCAAGAAAATAACTTGTGTTAGCCCAAGGGTGGTTTGATCTCCCTCGCTAACAACGTGAATTTTCCCGCGCTTCCACTAGTTACAAATGGTTTTGTTTGTAGTTGTCATTGTTTCGTCATAATTCCTGGCGCTACAGTGATTGAACAGTTTTGACTTTGGCTTTAGGGCAGACATACAGGCAGCCGTTAGGAAACTGCTGTAGTAATGATGCCCTCCCTTGTATTTTAGCTTCAGAGGAAGTCAAAGATGAGGCAGTTAAAAATCCACAAGCTGTTAAACCACAGGATGACAGGTCACCGGCTGTACAAGGTACAGAGTCACTTTTTAGAAATGTTTGTAAAGGACCCCCGCAAACAAGCGAAAGTTTTTTGCTAAAATCGTTTCTTCGGCTCGCAAATGGGTAAACATTTTCTGAAACCTTCAAGGGGAAACATGTAGGGAAACATTGCTTTCGTACAATGTTGCGCAATAACGTTTCCTCGTTTGCAAGGGCCGTAGAACAGTTCAGGATTATTTTCAGCCATGGCAGACGCCATGATGGAATAGACCTTTAAAGCGAGGACTAACATCTGCCAGATGTCAGTCCTCATACAGCACATGAAACTGGCAGCAATTTACAGGTGACACCGGCTTACTTTAAGGTAAGAAGCTTGTAGTGTCGTTCAACGAGGTTCGTCGCGTGATGAAGTTAATGAATAATCGTATTGTTATAAATTGATTTGTTTTTCTTCAGTTTTTTTTCTTTTGACTCTATTCAAAGAATATCCATGAATTTTTTCTATGCGCCTTTAACCTTAGGCCTATTATATTTTATTTTATTTTATTATTTAACGTCCAAGTATGTTCAGTACGTATTTTTATAATCTTGTTTACTAAATGGTACCAAGATGGTAGTGAACATGTGGGCCCTCTGACCTCACCATTTTCAGCCATTATAATCCATCAAATATTTTCGCTCGCGCGCGATTGGTCTAAACGCGTCTCGTGACCGAATATTCCCCAGCTAAAACTGGGGAATATTCGGGGATATTCTCCAATTTTCAAAACCGTGCGTGTTGCGAAAAATATTTGAAGGATAATAAAGACAATAGCCTCCATTTGGCATGAAAATATGCTCACATATTTGTCGTTGGACATTATCTGTTCCTCAAAGCTCAAAGTTTTCCTCGAGCTACGCTCTCGGAAAACTGTTCGCTTCTCGGAAGAGATAATGTCCGCGGACAAATATCCGAGCATATTTTCGTGCTAAATGGAGGCTATTGTTTATTTACTCTTCATATAGCACTGATTCGTTCAAACAATGCGGCATTGCTGGAAAATTACCTCGCCCTTTGGACATGCGCGGCACATTAAAAACGGACAGCAATTTACTCCTGTGCCATCGATAATCATACTAAGCGGCTTTTTAAAGACTTCCTTTTGTTTTTCTTTGTCATGCTTTTTTTCCTCTTAAATGAATTTTTCCTATACACTACTTAACTTATTTTCAGCCAAATCCTTAAGCATGTGACGAAGGATCTTCCCTCAGTAGTATTATATCAAATTGTTATTGATTATGCCTATTTAACAAATGTAGAGGTTCTGAAAGGTGCAAATAAGAGATATATTTTGTTGTTTTTTAAAACAAGCAGATCACATGCTTAGTATGGCTCACACAGACTGTTGATGTTATCTCTGTTTTAATCCGAGCAGCTGTTAATTCAAAACCTGCATATAAATTAGCAGTTTAATCTTAATTTAACATTGCACACCATAAATCATTCAGTTTTATGCCAACAGTCTGAACGGTTTCCTGAACACTATCTTCGTTTATCGAGGTTTCAGCCTATTAGTCAGTTGGTCCGTGGCATTAAGAAAGGAAGCTATCTTAGCTAGGTAAAACATCTTCGGAAACGAGAGTGAGTTGCCATGAAGAAATCACTTTGTGAACTTTTGATGCAACACTTTCCGGAAGCCTCTGATGCTGAAGAGCTTCGTTCGACTTACATTGCTAATTGTCTCTTCAACAGTTTTCTGTCCTATACTGCCATTATGATGAATATTGTGACGATCCACGCGATAAGAAAAACTGCGTCGTTGCCAAAGACTTTAAAAACATTGCTCCTGAGTCTTGCTGTGTCCGATATTGGTGTTGGTTTACTAGTTCACCCATTTTACATTTTCCTTTCGGTCAAGTGGTTACATCAGAATCCTCCTGGCTGCAACACATATATGGCTTTTACGATTATTTCGTTATCATTTTGTTTTGCTTCGTTCTTAGGTGTTGTGGCTCTAAGTGTAGACAGGTTCTTGGCAATTCATCTTCATCTCAGATATCAGGAACTTGTGACTCACAAGCGTGTTGTTGCTGTGGTGATCTCAATATGGCTGCTTAGTGTAATTTCTCCTGTAGTAGTGTTTTGGTTGCTGCCTGATATGGCCTCACTTCTGACATCGTTTGGATATGTTGGTCTCTTTCTTACAACATTAGTTTACATCAGAATTTACTTCACTGCGCGACGCCACGAGAATCAGATTCAAGCCCTGCAAGTGCAGGACATAGGAGAGAATAACGAAATTGCAAGTTTTGCTAGCCTCATTAAGTCTGCAGTCGGTATATTCTACGTATATCTCGTGTTTTTGATTTGTTATATGCCTTTGTTGATTTGTTCGGTCGCCACTGAAATCAACGGGCCTAGTGTTCCCTTGAAGAGTTGGATTATTTTTTCAATGACTTTCTTATTTCTCGGTTCTTCTTTGAACCCAGTAATTTACTGCTGGAAGATGAGACACATTCGACACGCTATCATGGAGCTACTGCGGAACATGCCTTGGCTAAAAAATCGCGTACCCCACTTATCTTAGGGCCGGCCGTGCTATGCCATTTATTCCCCACATTCATTGTTGCTATTGTTGATAAACACCTTTTGTATATAATATGAACTACGAACAGTCTAACGCAGCTGCCTGAAGACAAACGGGTCGTGTTAACTAAGGTCCAAGCGATGTAGCGCGTCCGGTTTAAACTGTAAATTCCTAAACTCCTACATCAAATTATGCTTATAGGGCTGGCTAGCAAACTATACCAAGAATTTTAAAATAAAATGAATTGTCGAATTTGTTTACGACCTCTAAATGCGAGCATCCGAATCACCTGTTGAAAGCTACAAGTCAAAGCGAATTGTGTTTTTCTCTTTTTCAATTTGTACCTCAGTTTTCCAACTTAAAGCGCCGAAAAAAGCTGTCTGCGGTTTGCTATATTCAATTTCAGAAGAAAGTTACCGAACATTTTGGAAATAAGATTAAAAAATATGGGGTGATCATAGAAAAATCGCTCTCTATTAGGAAATAAAAAATTGGCAGACACTTCTCTGTTTTATAGATGTCAAACTAGCTACTGTCCAAATTCCCTTTGTCTTGTAGCTTTCAAAAGGTGATTCGGACAATCACATTTAGAGGTCTTGAGAAGTTCGACAATTCATTGTATTTTAAAATTCTTAGTATATTGTGATAGCCAGCGCTATAAACTTTAATTTGATATAGAGGTTTAGGTATCTACAGTTTAAACCGGACGCGCTACATCGTTTGAACGTGAGACACACTAAAGGTGCTCTGAAGGTATACGGTAATCTTAAACTGACTAACTGTGAATAGTTGTTCAGTGCATTTTCCGCGGTGTCTTTTTTTTTGCGGAGTTTGCAAAAAATTCTTCATCAGTGAATTTATTTGATCTCGTTACCATTGTTCGCTCTTACTTGTGTAGCCGATATTGGAGTAAATAATTACGATTTTGCGGTGATAATAACAGTAATAACAGCTTTATTGAAGTGTCAGTGTATTTAGCATTAACTACTAATTGGGGACACAACAAAAAAAAAGTTAAAATTATTTACAATTAAATAAGTAAAAAAGGAAGTGTACATGCATGTACAATCAATCTGCAAAAATGTATGTATAAGTAGCAGACGAAAACAGTAGGCATATTATTGGGAGTCTTTAAGAATTACAGAGGTTACAACAATCCACCGTGGGAAAAAAGATGGCGGCTGTACATTTTACCACAATGCCTTGCGAACCTAACACAGCCAACAAGGCACAAAGAAAGCCAAATTTTTACAAGATTTGTCTCTGTACTAAGGACATTAAGTAGCTCAAGTTCTTCCGGTTTTGTAAAGTTTCTGTACGTTTTTATGAACGTTGTAAAGGTTCGCTCGCTAAGAACTATGGGTAAATGTACCAGTTGCCATCTTTTTTCCTACGGAGGATTATTGTTGTTGTACAGAAAAGACGTGAGGTCTTTTTGCCTAATCTTCTTTTTGAATGATTCGCTATTACCTAGAGCATTACCTAGGCATTACCTAGACGCTTCTTTGCGCCGCAGAAAACGACAGTACATGTCTACATTTAGAGAAAAAGTGTCAAATATGTACGCTATGAAACTACATCGTAATTGTCGTGTGCTTTTTAATCTTGTTATTGTCAAGCGGTTATGTTTATATAGTTTTGATTTGCTCAAGTAGTAACTATAACCCACACATGGAAAATGGAGCATCGGTGACATGGGAGGTATATGAAGCTAGAAACAGGTTCCAGATGTACAATGAGTTAATGACTTTGTATGTTTTAGTATTATTATTTTTATGAATATATTAACGCAAATATATACATACACTGTAAGATCTCTTCTATGTAGGTGGTAGCTTTGATAAGTCCAAGTTGTGGCTGTAAGTGTAGACAGATTCTTGGCAATTCATCTTCATCTCAGATATCAGGAATTTGTGACCCACATGTGCTGATTTCTATATGGCTTCTTAGTGTAATTTTCTCTGTGATAGTGTCGCGGTTGCTGTCGGATACGTACTCACTTATGAGATTTAGTCTTGAACTTACAGAACTCGTTTTTGTGACATTAGCTTAGATCAGAATTTACTTAACCGCACGACGCCACCAGAATCAGATTCAGGCCCTGCAAGTACAAGGCTCAGGAGAAAATTACGAAATGACAAGTTTTGCTAGCCTCGTTAAATCTGCATTCGGTATATTTTACATATATGTCGTCACGACGAGATTCATGAGTTTCTGAAATAGCCGCCCACTACTGACTTTGAGCTAGTGAATAGCGGAAAGTCAGGAGGGGGTCTAGTTTAATCCAAGCCAACTTAACCGCAGGGTAAAAATAATTTGATGCTTCTTGACAAGAATCGTGTTAAAGACGGCATCTACTTGTCACCGGAATCATTCCGAAAACAAAATCAAGGTAACTGGAAACCTCTCAGTTTTCTGGAAACATTTATAGCGCTAATCCACTGCACTCAGACTTATATATCAAG